CCCAGAAATTTAGAAGAATAACAGTACATATAAACGCCACTATTTTCTTCCCATGTCCTGGACACTATTTTGCAATGTACGTTTTAAGACATTTGGGTTAAACTACCTGTTTTGCTAACTCCTATCAGAAAGAAGTCCTTCAAATCAATAATTCCAAAACCAGTCATCGGTTCTTGGCAGACATCCCGCCATCATTTAATTGGCTTCTAGTCACTAATCATATATAGTAAAGCAAATCATTCGGTGACTTGCATATACATTTTGCAACCACTTTAATTTTGTAAGGTTGGACAAAGAAATTACCTTGTTCAAAGTAAGCCACTGGGAGTGTATGCTACAAAAAAATTGGAGGGGCAGTGGTAGTTGGCTGATTGTTGGTTGTTCTAACTTGCAGCTAGCTTTATTTTATTGTTCCTACCTTTATTCTCTCTTTGTTCTGATTCTTTGGCTTATTTACTTTCAGTTATCCCAATATATTTACATTTTTGGTAAACAGGTTTTATGTCCAGGCATAGAATAGATAAGTAATAAAATTATATTGTAAGCAACAGGAACGAAGATTTTTTTTTAATATTTATAACAATAGAATAGAAGCTGCTGACATTACTGAATGTTTTTCAGGGCACCAAACACTAGGCAGAGCTTTTCATATATATTCTCTTGTGTCATCCTTTCACAAATGTATAGGTTATATATCAAAATAGACGTAGAAAGGTTAAATAACTTGCCCAAAGTTACACAGGAACCTAAAGCCGAAACAAGAACAGGAACTCCTATTTCTCCTTGACAGGCAATGTGAATTGAGTCTTGAGGATGATTAGGATTTTGCCAAGAAGACAAAGAATAAAAGGGCATCCTAAGTAAAAGGAACAGTATATATAAGAGATGTATATAAAAACAGGTTTCTCACATCATACATACACACACAAACAGTAACTATGTGAGGTGATGGATGTGTTAACCAACCTTATTGTGGTAATGAATTTGCAATATATATGTACATCAAATCACCAGGCTGTACACTATAAACTTACACAATGTTATGTCAATTATATCTCAATAAAACTGAAAAAAGTAAATAAAAACATGGTTTCTTCAAGGGTTAGCAAATTTGTTCAGTATGGCTTAAAGGTAAGGAATACATAGAAAAACAGAGTAAGATAAAGCTGGAGAGGTAGACAAAGTCCAGATCTGTCTGTCCAATAAGGTAGCTACTAGCCACATGTGAATTATTTAAAGTTGAAATTTTAAATTAAAATCCTCAGTCATAATAGCTACATTTTAACTCCTCAATAGCCACCTGTGGCTAGTTTCTACGACCAATTTGGAAAGCACAGATATAAAACATTTCCATCATTGCAGAAAGTTCACTAGACAGAACTAGTCTAGACTATGAAGGTCCTTATGTGCTATATCATTGGAATTTCTCTGATAGATGATGGTAGGCCATGAAAAGATTTAACAGTTTAACAGAAGTGATACTGTTAGAGCTTCATTTAGGACTGACAACTAAAGTGAATGGACTAGCTGGCGGGAGGGGATTGGAGAAGATATAAGGAATGGGTCTATCAGTAGGGAAACCAGAGAGAAAACAAAAACAAATCTTAAAACCAAATAAATAAAATGATCACGTAGATATTTTAATGAAGAGATTATGCAACACTTTTCAATTTTTAAAAAATTTTCCAAATCTCTTATAACGAAAAATACTGTTTTTACAGTGAGAGTTCGCTGAGGGAGTGTGAAAGATGCTATTACAACAGTTCTAGAAAGAATGGCAGTTAACACTAAGGAAATGACATGGGGAAACAGTGGAGGGCACAATTTTGAAATATTTGAGAGGAAGAATCTATAGATATTGTCGTCTGATTAGACTGTGAGTCACATATTCCAAATAATTCCGCAACCACTCCATAAGACAGGTAGACCTGACATCACTACCCTCAATTTAAGAGGTAAAGCAACCAAGCTTGAAGGGTTTAGATGAAATGCCCCAGTCATACGGTTAGTGAAGGAAGAATTCAAGACAGATGGCTCATCTAAATGCTAGACTACTTCCACTTGGCTTAATAGCCCATCCTACTCATCAACTATTGCTCTCAGTCATCCTTTTTCTTCTTCTCCCTAAAGCCTCCCAGTACACAGTTGTATATTCTAGTTGCAGGTCCTTCCAGGTGTGCTATGTGGGATGCCCACCAAAGCATGGGTTGATGAGCAGTGCTAGGTCCGTGCCCAGGATCTGAACCGATGAAACCCTAGGTCACCGAAGCAGAGCACATGAACCTAACCAGTTGGTCATGGGGCCAGCCCTACAGTCATCATTTTGCTGTTTCTAAATATCAAATACACCCTCTTCAAAGATCAAAGCTCTGAAGTCACTGAAAATATTCAGAGACACTTAAACTTATTGTAAGCTCTGCGAGCAACACCCAAAGGAGTTTCAAAAATATTGATACTGTTATAAATGTCCTCTTAATATTTAAAAAAAACCTTTCACATTAAGATTATGGTTCTCATCTTTATAGAAAGCAATGTATGACAAAACTATGAAAACATTTCATAAGAATAAACCACCTTTTTCAATCATTCTAAGTATTCAGTTAGAAAATAAACACACACATCATCTTTCATATTCACAAAACCTTGATACACAGGTTGTGCACTTTTAATAATTATGATACAGAAAACAACAGTAACAAAATATTCTGTACGACATTAAGAATTTTGATTTTCAGCAGTCTAACAAGAAAAACTTGATGATGGTTTGCAAATGAAAAAAGAAACTGTCAAATTTCCACTCCTGTCTACAACAAAGAATGATTCCTCCTGATCTGTCTCTACGAATTGCTGACAGTAGAACAGAAGAAATAAAGGAACCCATAGCAGCCATAAGACCAGTTCTCCTCTGGATGCTTTCACAAATACAAATTAAGATTTTTTGCTACATAACATCCTTATCCAGACCAACTACCAATATGTAGGAATTTGGCTAGATGATAGGTTTTACATAGTTGGTGACATTAATTAAAAGTAAATGAAAAGCAAGTGCAAGTACCATGACCAAAAATCTTTCTCTAACCCAGTCCCACAGTTAATAAATCAGTTTTGTCTACACTGAATCAACTTAGTTCTCTCCTTCCCATGACCTACCAAATTCCAGATAGTACTTAGTAGGATAACCACCTAAACTAGCTATACAGCCTTTATATGTGAAAATGCCACACTGTGGGGGAGAATCCCAAGCAGTGTGCACACTGCTCTTTCTGGTCCACTCAGAAAACCAGCATATGCCCGAGAGGACAACTTTCAGCACACAAGAGGGCTAAAAGTAAACAACTCACGAGGACAAACGAAAGCTACCAAGAGAAAATGCAATCTATCTAGGCTTCATGACATGACACCAAAAAATTTGAGAAAAGAACACACTACAGTTGAGACTAGACTAAACAAGTAATCAAAACACACACACGAACTATGCATTCTAGCTTATATGAGGAGAACCAAATAGTACAATTAAAGATACTTAAATTTAGTAATTCTACATCTCAGAATTTTTTCTAAAGAAACCAATATATAAGCATATATAACCACAAAGATATTTAGCATCTTATTTTTTAAAAAATAAAAAATTAGAAAAATCTAGATGACCAAATATTGGAAACTGAGTAAATAAATTATGGCAATTATTATAATTGCATACCACGACACTATTAAGAATAATGTTGTAAAAACAATCATTTAATAGCATTCAAAGATGTTTAGATCATATATTTGCTTTAAAAAGTTATAAAACAGGTCATATATAAGTTTTAAGAAATTAGCCAAAAAGTTTACATATCTATCTATATGTTGAAAAAGCTTATCCAAGAATACACAAAATGTCAGTGACAGTTACATAACTGGGTGGCGAGACTAATCAACTTAATTTTTCAAAAATAGATATGTTACTTGGGTAATAAGGCAAAACATGCTAGCTTAAATTAATTAGTGATGAGGAAATTATATAAAAAGAAATAATCAAACAGCAAGAACAAGAAATGAACTTTGCGTAGCTCTGGATGTGGTAAAAACTTTTGGGACTATTTCATATGTTATTGTTTGTTATCAGAAACAGAATGCGCTGAATCAGTGAAATTAGGCAAAGGTGACTGAATCCTTAGAGCTCCCTTAAATCTAACACTTATTCCAGTACAAACCCCAACTCTCTAAATAAGTCTCCTTATTTCTAACATGGAACAAGTGAATTTCTGTTTCTGACAACCAAAAGAACTAAACATATCCTTGGGAATTTTGCTGCACTCAGTCCTAGACTAACTTTTTATACTTGGGGTATCATGACTCCTTTGAAAACTGATAAAATACAACAGTATTTATTCTTTCTTAGATTATCCCTACTTCTTGAGTCAACTACTCTTCAGCCTAAAATGAAATTATCTACAATTATAAAATTGAAGACTTCTGAAGAAACAGCTATGTTTCTTCTGGTGTTACAAAAGTTAATTATTTCATCTGCTTCTTCTTTTTCAATATTTGTGTGTGAAAACATACCTTTAACACCTGCATATGTTTCTGCACTAACACTAGCATATGTCTCACATCTCAAAGAAAGAATTGACATATTTTTATTTCTTTTGTATGCCTTATAGCATACCAGAAAGAAAGCTCCCAATAAGTCTATTACCTAAATTCTCAGGTAGGACGCTAATCTATACTCTATTAGGCAATAAAAAGGAAAGAAAATCCACAACTATGTCTAAAAATATGTAGTAAGAACTTTTTTTTTACATTATTTAAGCAAAAACAAAACTCCCACTGGTAAGAATATTTCTACCCAACTCAACCAACCGTAAGTATTTAAAAAAAAATACAGATATATTTACCTGCCCCAAACTTTTCCACATCGAGCCCAAGGTGTTGATATTACCAAAACTATATGTATATTAAAGCTACTGTATATGAAAATTAAGGAATATCTATGAAATATTCCTAAATATACTCACAGAAAGATAGCTGTTAATGTCCACATCATCAGTGATAGTTTGACGCTCTCCTTTATAGTTAATTTTCCGAAATCTTCGTCGAGACTGTCTGGCAGGAATCTCTCTATGTAGAAAATCTTCATTATCTTTGGAATTCTCTACCTGAAACACATGTTCACATTCCTGATTAAACATCCAACTTTTCCATATTACTGACAGTCTATGGAGTCTTAACAGGCTCATAAGGAGGCTTCATTTACTTCTTGCAAGAAACTGCCTCAAGAAAACAGTGTGCATAGGACAGTGCTCATGAGTTCAAAAAGTTTAAAGGTGACGTTATTACAAAGATCCAGACCACAGTTTCCTTCCAGGAAATAGTCTCTCTCGCTCACATAAACACACATCCTCTAAGTAAAGTCACTTACCAGAAATGAAGGCTGTTAACTACACCTACACATTCAATAATTACAACTTCTCAGTTAGTCCAATTACAAACTGCCTGATTATATACCTATTTTATTGAACAAAAAATCATGGTTATAATTTCAGTGAAGTGCTAAACGGTAAAACAAAAATGCTTCAGTTTATAGATGAACAAAGTAAAATCCAAAGAGATTAGTGACTTTCCAGTCTCACTGGAAACAACAGTGATACTTATTAAAGGTGAATTAGAATACAGGTCTGCCTTCAAAGCTTACGCTATCGATATAAGACCACACTGCCCTTCTAATTAACTAAACTATAATTTAAAAAATTATTTTTACAAAGGCATACTGATATGTTCTAAAGTATACCTTATAATTTACCTCACATCCAATAAACAAATGATAGTTTCAGTTTTTCCTCACAACTACTTTTCCTGCTAATGTCACATCTCTTGTTAATATCAAAAATTCCCAGTCACCCAAGTATGAAATTCCATCAACATTCCCAACTCCCCTGCTTGTCTTCCAAATCTTATCTTCAATCATTTTTCAAGATTTCTCAGTCCTTGTTTTTACAAATCTTCTCACAATGGCTTTTCCTTCATTCTCATTACCACCGTCCCTTATTCAAGCCTTAATCACTTCAGTCCTAAACTATAGCAATTCTGCTGCTTCAGGAATGCTCTTCCCCAATTCCATTCTGCATGGTCAAATAAATCACCTAGATAAATTATCATCACACCAGGTTTCCTGTTCAAAATGCTACAATGGACCTCTAACAGTTACCAAATAAATTTTAAACTATTACATTTGATATTTAAAGCCACATATGCTCCATCCCCAAAATATTTTTACCAGTTTATTTTATACGTGTAAGCCTGGAAAACTTGCTCCCTTATCCTCCTCTCTACAAAAAAACCCTCTCACATAAAAGGTCTAATAAGATATGCAAAATTTCCTAATGATTTCTCAGAAAGTTGATAAGAAAGAAGTTGTTCTGTTTCAGCTGTGAGAATTCAAGAGGAAGTAGCAGCCAAGTTAATGTGACCCAAGTCATGGGTCCCTATATATAAATAACTTATATTCTGCTAAGTAACTTTACTTTTATTTCCTCAATTTGTGTTATCCTATCCATTCTATCTTCACATGCTGAAACACCACCAATCATTTAAGACACATCTCAATTGCCATCTCTTCCATAAACACAAGAGACATTCCTTTCCTTAGACTGCATGACTGGTTGTGTGTATACAACCTAGACTTCTCATAAATAGGACATGCTCCCTACTGTCTTCAGGCCTTGGCATACGCTGCTGTTACTTCTGCCTAACTTCCTCCTTTGCCAATAACCTGACATCCTACACATACTTCACGACCCAGTTCAATCAATCCCTCCTCTGCCCCAGGAAGGTGCTAATCCTTCTACAGCACTAAACATATCAACCATAATGATTAGATAAGCCTACCTCACTACCAAGCTAACGAGCTCCCTAAGACAGGAAGTGCATTATATTATATTCATCGTTGTTCACTTAACATCCAAGAAGTTTTCCAAAGTGGGCATTACGTTAAATTCTTTCTCTCCAAATATGTTAGGTCCTTGGAAATATGTATAAGGTACTCAAGACATACATAGGCAGGCAGAATAAGTTACTGAATATTACTCTTGGGAAAGGTAAAATCCAGAAGACACAAGGGAATGGTTTCCTGCTCAATAATTATAAAATTTTGTGTAGGTAGCAAATACATGCTACCTTCTTGAGATTCAATTTCCTCTTCTAAAAAATGATGGGAGGATCATAGTATTTACTGAATCACTACACTAGGCCATGTACCAGAAACTCCATATCATTTAAAGCTCACAATGACCCTATTACATAGCTACTCTTTCTGTAGTAATAGATGGTACAGAGTCTCATAAAAAGTAATTCACACAAGTGAGTGTAAGGACTCAAAACCCAAGTGCAACTAAAAAGTTATCTCCTTCATACTGCCCTATCCCAAGGGATGAACTAGATATCTACTTTAGGTGAAATTCCAATATCATATGATTTTTAGATCTTTTAATATCTACCATTTATTGAGCAAAAGCAGAGATTTAAACAATAAAGGCTTTTCAAAATAGAGTAGTAAATTAAATTTAGGAAAGGAGTTTCTAAACCTCAGAATTTGAAGAAAAGTACCAAATGAAAAGAAAAATTGAACAATGTATAAAGGATTAAGTGCCCTTAACAAAGTTCCCTCTGACTAAAACTGAAATGTGAGATTTAAAAAAATAAAACTTGGCAAACACGTACTGAATTGGCACAAAAGTAAGGAATCCAAAGGCCAAGAATGAAGTGAAAGCAAGAATACCAGGAGGTAGGATACCAACAATGCCCCTGATCTACCAGAGGATTTCTCAACTCTAGAGATGAAACCTTCCACTTTGATGTTTGTAGGGAGTGAGAGAGACAGGAAATAAAATAGAGAATCCACCAAAGATGGGGAATCCAATAGGAAACTTACTCACAAAGCTCAACCCAAATAGCTACACTCTCATTGTAAGGGGTGAGCAAAGTGTAAGCCCACTTTGCAGAAGGGGATAAGAAGAAAATTTGCTTGGAACTGAGAGAACTGGGGGGAAAAAGCAACCAAACAAAAACCTTCCTCTGAGAATTCAAACATAAGCTATCATGCAGGTCTGTAGTTTGAATTCATAAAACCTTAAGTACATAAGTAAATTTAAAGAAGTTCAGAACTGATAATGTACATATACAACTGCAAAAACAAATCTAAAATCTCTTTGCAAGAATGCAACTTTAACCCAAACCTCAAAGAATTCCCATACTTAAAGTTCAAGACATATGAACTCATAGACAAACACATAAAAAAATTTTTAAAAACCCCCAACCCACTACAACAAAACTCAACCACAGGAGCAAATAAGATAGGAGAAGCAATAATGGACAGAAAAAACACAGAAGAATCACACTTGCAAACATTCCTATTTACTGGAAGTATCAGAAAATATAAAGTTATAATAAAAAAACTTTCAAACAAAAAGAAACTTGAAAACAAACAAGAGATTATAAATAGCAACCAAGCAGGTGAAGATTGACCAGGACAAAAAAAAAAATCCTCCCCAAGTGCCCTTCCTCCCCATTGCCAGACTGGTAGGCAGTGACTAACAAGCAAAAGCAGTCTACGTTTGGAAGACAGACAAGAACATGGAAAGATACCCTGTCTAAAACACAAGAGCACAGGGAAGGCCTAAAACTGAGGGTGGAGCAAGACGACTTTGAAAGATCTTCCAACAGACCAGACCCAAAACTAAGCACAAAGTTACCACCAGAGGAATTTGAAACCACTGGTGCACTGAAGGAAACCATAACAACAAAAGATCCAAACCTAGCTCAACCCTAGCAGAAGAGGTGGGTTCATCTCCAGGCCTAAACACTATCTACCCTCAGTCTTTATTGTCCTACACACCGTATCTAGCATTAAATCCAAAATAATGACTCATATAAAAATAAAAAGGGTAAAAAAAATCAAAAAACAAATACAAAGAACAATCCATGGCCAAGAGACAAATCAATCAACAGAGCAATCCATAAAAACTAGAGATGATCCAGATGCTAGAACTATCAGAGATTTAAAACAACCATGATTAATATGGCAAAGGCTCAGTGGAAAAGGTGAACAATATGAAAAGACAGATGGAGAATTTCAGCAGACATATGAAAAATATAAGAGTAAAATGAAAATGTTAGAAACAAAAAATGTGGTACTAGAGACTGAACAATGCTTTTGATAAGCTCATCAGCAGACTTGATGCAATCAAGTTAAGAATCAGTGAATTTAAACACAGGTCAACAGAAATTACCCAAGCTGAAATAGAGGGGGAAAAAGTAAAAAAAAGAAAAATGAAGGAATTAAATGACATATTGAGATTTAACTAAAAAGAGAATTAGTGAATTGGGAAGACAGCCAAATAAAATAACATAGTATGCAGCACAAAGTCAGGAAGAGATGAAAAAAAAGAAAGAAATCTTAAGAGATAAAGAGGATAGGCTGAAAAGACAACATATCTCTAAACAAAGATAGGCAAGAATAGAAAGAACAAGACAGTGTCCAAAGAGAAAATGACTGAGACTTTTTGATTAAAAAACAAACAAAAAAAGCCCAAAGCAGTCCAACAAATCCAAAGCAGGATAATTAAAAACCACAGCTACAAAATTCACACATAAAAGATAAACAGAATACTTCTCACATAGCCAGAAGGAAAATGTAGATCAGCTATAAAGGAAGGGCAATTAAAGCAATAACTGACTTCCCAAAAACAATGGATGCCAGAAAATAGTAGAAGGTATTGACTGTGCTGAGAAAAAAGAACTCCCCTCCTAAAACTGCATTCATGGCAATACAATCATAAAGTATGATGCAAAATAAAGATATTCTCAGGCAAAAAGAAAAACAATACACCTAGCTGAGATGTTTACCAACAAAACACCTTTATTAAAGAAAATTTTAAAGGGTCTACCTCAGATGTAACATAAGTATTCCCATCAGTAAGGTCTCGGATGCAGGAAATAATTAAAAGCAAAGAGACGCTAAATACATGGTTAAATCTGAGCAAATAATGATTGCATAAAACAAGACAATAAGCAAAATTTGCGGAATAAATAAGTAGAACTAAAATATTGAGACACCAATAGCAATTACATTTAGATACAGTCACAAGCATTAAATTTTTAT